AGAAGAAGAAGAAGAAGAAGAAGAAGAAGAAGAAGAAGAAGAAGAAGTAGAAGAAGATCAGTAGGCAGCAGCATGGGGACAGCCACTAGGCTTAGCTTGGGAATCTGAAACCCCAAAGCCCACCTCCACTGATACACTTCCTCCCAAAAGGCCACACCTTCTCCAGTCAAGCCACTTCACCTATTCCCTCTCAAGTACCAGCACTCCCTAATGACAAAGCATTCACAATATGAGCCTGTAGAGACCTCTTACTTTTACCATAGAACCCAAAGACTTTTCAATGCACTAAAATAAATAAATAAATAAGTTCTGTGCCACACTGAATTTTTGTCTATGTGTCAGCACATTTTGCACAAAATAAAATTAAGTAGATAAACATGGAAGCTAAAAGTAGAAAAACTAAGAAAAAGCTCTGCATGTGAAAAAAATATCTTTTAAGAAAGGGAAGCTATTAAATATTTGTTATGAGAAGAAAAACTAAGCAAGATTTTCTGCTAGATAAAATTGTTCCACAGTTCAGAGCTCCAAAATACAAGAAAAAAAATTAAATAAATATAAGAAAACCAGTCATGTTAATAAAGTAAGGTGTTTTTCTTTTACCCTTCTTTTATTTTTAAAGACAGGTTATTTCAATGAGTGGTGAGACTGTAAGAGAATGCTAGCACGATAAAAAAGAAAGAGAGAGAGAGAGAGAGAATTGAATGTTTAGGTGTATGAGTAAAACTTCTTAAAACTGGCATACCTAGACAGTTCAACAGTTTATATCATCACGGGCTTGCCCTTAATATTTTGTAACTTGAGTATTGAGTCACGGTGAGCTACGATTTTTGAAACTCACGTGTTTTAATGTTTTTTTTAATTTTATGCATAGAAGTGTTTTACATAAAGTGTGTAAGAGTCTCACCAGCAGGCAGTGCCTGCAGAGGCCCGAAAAGGACAGGGAGTTGTGTGCTGCTAGGTGGGTGCTGGGAGCCAAACCTCTATCCTCTGCAAGGGCAACAACCGTGCTTAACCATCTTCAAAACCACACCTCAGCATGTTTTTAACCTTCTGATTACTTCAACATCTTCCTAAAATGAAGTTCTAATTAAGTGTTGTTGTACTCAATTTAGTATTGGAAAAATGCTGTAAGGCTCTTACAATATCTCAGAAATTTCCATGTTTAAAAAAATGATTAATTATGTTATCTGTGATGTCAGATTTGCTGGAGTAAAAGAAAATGCTCTTTAAACATCCATGAATTAGGGGAATATAAGGCAATAGTGGGTTTTCCAGAAGTTGTATGATTCCTAAGAACCTGATCTGACACATTACAGTATTATCAGAGGTATTTACTTTCAACTGTACTGGGAGTCAGGACAAGGAAAAAGAAAGAAAATGTAGGCTTTAGCCAGGCATACTGGTGTGAGCCTGTAATCCCAGCCCTCAGGAAAGCAGAAGCAGGGAGATCATTGTGAGTTCAAAGCCAGCCTGGTCTACAAAATCATTTCTGAAGGACTTCAAATATTTTTATCCTTTAAAATCTATAATATCGCCTACTTTACGGAATCTGTGTGGGCTTAATAAAAATGCTGGATGTACTTTGGAAGACAACATTATGTGAAAAAGAAGTGGAAAAGAATGTGGTGGAAATAACAGGAAAGCTATGTGCGAAAACACATTGATAACCAAAAAAAATGTAAACAATTATTTTGAAAATATCGAAATTGTCTGTTTTAAAATTACTTCACAAGTATTCTGTATTTTTTTGTTTTTCTAAAAGTACAAGAATATCAGATGAAGATCTATGATATATATGTATATATACACACTGTATTTCTCTTAAAAGATAATCATAGGTACAATGAATTTTTTAATCTTGCAGCTGGTTTATAGACATGGGAAGATAGAAAGGTAGAAGAATAATTGATATAGGGTCCTAAGTACTCATAAATTATGTCTAAGGTAGCCAAATTCCAGCCTAAATCACACCCATAGATACAAGAGGAGTCAGATACTGTGTGCTTGTGATTTTACTGGTACTAGGAAGGTAAATTGCAGCCACACTGTCCCAATTTCACAATCTGGCAAGTCCATTACTTCTTACTCATCATCTGAAAGAAAAAATGCAAACGGAAATTACATAAAAAGTATAGCAAAATGAAGTTTCTCCTCCTTTTCTGGGCTCTGTAAATAATACTTATATAGAAGTCTATGTCTCTTTGTCTTTCTCTTTTCCCCTTCCCATTTTGGTCCTCTTTGTTCATTCTTTCCAACCATCTAACACATAACATACTCTGAATTGTGGCTGATAAAATAAAATAAAAAACATATTTTATTGGTTATTTGGTTTAGCATGAAAACATTCAATCATAAACTGGTGTTGATGACATATGCCTATAATTACAATACTTGGGGAGTGGAGGGAAGAGAACCAGGAAGTTAAAGCTATACTTGGCCACACTGCAAGACTTAAGCCCGATTGGCGTACTTTACAAACCCTGTCTCTTGGTCTCAAAAAGTCAGTACAAAATTTAAGACATGTTTAGAAATATGATTACTGAGACATCTCCTATACTATTAAAACATAGACCAAGTTGAATGTCCACTAACAAGCGAGTAACTAATCAGTGACAGCAGAGCCACATAATGGTTCGCTACTGCAAGAACAAAAACATCAAAACAATCAACTCAAATAGAGTGTCTCTATGAAATATTATGAATGTTTTAAAATAAAATTTTAATTAGTAAATTTTGATAAGTATAATGTATAGACACGACAATGATAGAAAATAGCCTTGTATGTATGTGTATGTGTGTGTGTGTATTTCTAATAGACTGTTGAAACAATTAGTAGCAGTTGATCGTATAGTGAGGAAGGATAACATATTTTTTTAAGATTCAACATGATGCCTTGCTTTCTCATAGGACTTTGTTATTTTTTCCTTATTTGGGGGCATAGACTAAGGTAAACACATTCTAAAAACGCAGATAACATTTAACAGTACTGCACTGAGGTCTCTTTTACCGGAGAGCAGGTGGAACTATTA